ACCTCAGAAGTGTTTTTAAAATATGTTTGAGAGAAACGAGGAAGCAGCTTCATTTACAGTGTAAACAAACCTCTTATGATCTCATAGATGCATCAGTAAATCCGGCCCCTGGGAACTAAATCTATTCCAAACAAAGTGAACACCTCAACACTTCCTTACCCAAAACTCTGCCATACTGTGAGAAGTATTCTTGAAGCATATCTCGTGTTATGAAGGCATTGATGCTGCCAACAAAGATCCTCGCATTCACAGTCTTGGGGTCAGAAGTTACCTCTGACACACCACGACGATTAGGCGAGCTTTCACGGTTCCTGATAAGTAAAAGATTTTTTTTTTCAAAATCCAAAATCTGTCTCCCAAGTAAACTATATTAGAATTAAATCTCTATTGACATAAGTATGGTATATCTTTTTCTATTGCACAAAAACATGAATAATTAATAAAGATTAAAATCTATCAGTAGCATCATAGCAAGGAATAATGTTAAAAAAAAATAATAATAATAATAAGTCAAAAGGACAATTCTTATGTACTTCACCCAAAGACTAATAAGTATAAAGACAGCAACAAACCTGCTCCTGCTCCTACTTCTGCTGCGAGAATGGGAACGACGGCGGTCACGATCCCTTCCACGAGACATAATACTTTATAATCTGAAGAAGAGAAAATTTGGTCCCTTTCTAAATTTCAGTATTCAAGAAAGGCTATAAAAAATAATTTGCCTTAATAAAAAAGGTTTTCATAGTTCTACTGTCATAAACAATCTACAAATATTATATAAATTTCTTCTTCATAATCTCCTAATATTTGATCAATACTCCACTAAAGCACTAATATTGTAGTCCAATAATGCTGCATTCAGGACTCTTTGTCTTGCTCATTCAGACAACTTGTCAGGACCAGCTGGACAACAAGGCTGTGTTTGGAACCTCTGAGGCCTTCATTGCCCACAATGCAACCAGCTCAAAAAAAAAACGTTCACACCAGTGTCTTTATTTTACACCCTGCATAGGTTTTGCAACTTGTCTGATGCTTAGTTAAATTACCTGCAACTGGCAAACACTAAAACATCCTTCGATAACATCAATAAAGAAGAAAGGACCATAAAATTACCAACCAATATCATATGATTCCATGCAACTGTAATTGTTAATTTTCAAATACTATTGTGCATCATCTCATCCTGCTCCCCTGGCTGCGAAGGTAGGCAAAATGGATGAGATGGACAACTTGTCCAGGACACCAAAGTAGGTTTTCCGAGCAGTAAAAACATCTTGTCCAACTTGCTGGATGAGTTCCAAATACAGTATTGGTACCAGGAATAAAATTTCCTAGATCACATATGATGGATATTATCTTGATTAAATACTCTGACCCACTGTAAGAGTATATACCAATACAGTAAGAAAAAAAAAATAAAAATAAAAAATACCTAATAAGATATATACAACACAACTTTCTATTGGCATGGCCTGGACTGCAGGCATCTCATGTATTTAAATGGACCTCTAAAAGTCTAATGTTCATATACATAAACTTAAGAGTGTTCTATATTCAAGAGTGCTCTTTCCTAGCACAATCACCTGCCACCCAAACCACCACATGTCAGGTTAATCCATTGGATCTGGTGTCGCGCTCTCTGCACGAGGGCCAAAATCTGGGCATTTGGCTTACTTGATTGGGGACTCTCACAGGTGTGCAGCTTGTACACCTGGCACACTCAAATACTTTTTTGCAGTATCAAGAATCCCTGCCTCCCCTTGGCAATGATATATTATTTTTTTTTGCTTTTTTTTTCCATTTTCCAATGTCTGTATTTGTCATTTGATATCTTAATTGCACAGACTTCATATCATCTCTTGAGGCATCTTGTAACTCTGTGCAATAACAGTAACAATAAGTAAAATTTTGTTATTTGTATCATTCTTAATAATATTTTTGCAATTTGCAATTTTCTGTAATACACCCTGCTAAACCAGTCACAGCAGGCAGGAATAAGGTCCTAAGCATGGAAATAGAGTCCTCTCTGAAGCCAGTGCTCTTCCAGTCATAGCTCACAGATGGTACATTCCACACTTGTTTATTGACAGAAATAATGTAAGAGGCCCTTCCATAATGCCTACTGAATCTAATCACTGTCCTTGGGCTTTGTGCACTCATGGTAAGTTATTGCCTTCACCCTATCAAAATTCTCTCAAAAGTATGTTCCCCTCACCCGAGCGACAGACAAATTTTTTCGTAACAGCATGTTCCTGAAACCCAGCCTTTAGCTACATTTCTTCATGACATGATGGTCAGATCACTCAGATCCAAGGAATAAAATGAATACGTGGAGGATTCTTTGTTTCCCTGGCCAGGGGTTGGGGAGGGAGCAGCACCCTATGCAAGGGTTGCACTGCATTCAACAGTATAGTGAGGTAGTAACTTCATTATGTTATTATAGGCATCTTTTCCAGTGGATATTAGGGTGTCTCGAGACGCGCAGTGACACCAAAAGCTGTCTCGTGATCGGAGGTGAGACAGGCCTCTAAGTTCCGCCCATTTCTGTGACGTAATGGGAATGATCGCTGTTGATGGCATGCTATTTTACTGTACTGGTTATTTTTCCGACAGGTAAAAAGTATTTTGGAATATGATATCCAAGATGGCTTTTGGTATCTTATGGTGGGTAGTGTGGTGTTATAGATATCCAATATAAGTACTAATATGCAAGAAATATCCAAAGTAGGAGGACTGCATCTGGCAACTCGATTAAAGTTAACCATCTGCTAAATTCCTGTCGCGCAAGAGGTGTCGCGTTTCCCATAACCGCTGGAAAAGATGCCTTATATTATTGTTAGTTTACCCTGCAATTTTCTTGGTACCTTCCATGCCCTTCCCTGCTACCATGGCCAAGAATGTGAGGTTTGAGTACAAATATGTGTACTAGAGGATGCGAGGAATCCATCGACACCAAAATTGTTGCAAATGGTAACCCAACATAAACTGTCTTCACACATGTAGCTCATGACATCACTGCCATTTGTTGTTTATTTATCAAGAATGCACTGTACAATTCATGTATTTCTGTGTTTTAATTTATCTAAAATTATACAGAAACCCATATTTTCTAAATGACAGAAGTATACAATGCTCTCTGTTTTATCATATATACACCATATCTTTATTAGACGTAAATGTTACAACCATACATGTATATGTGCAGCCTTCTACCAGCAAATCTGACAATTCTGTAGCCACAGTCCTCATTCTCATCGCTCATTTCAAAGGTGAACTTAGTTTACAGTGTTATTTGTGTTTCCGAATTCTTTTCCAACTTTCCAAGGAAAAAGATCTCTAACTGAAATCGTTACAATATTGGGTATAACACTAAATTCATTGAAAAACAATGTGTTCCAGCTGCAGATCTTTATCAGAGGTTTGTCATATCCTAGCCAACCTAATGTCAACCATAAGGGAAACCCAATTTGTTTCTTTATATACACAGCCAGTTTCTGTATTTCCCCTGTGGGGAAATACAGAAACTGGGTGGGGGTCTGGGGGCAGAGCCCCTGATAGGCAAATACAGGAACCTGGAGGTAGTCCATGGACTGACTCCCAACTGGGAGTCGGCCATATTTCCCTGAGAGGGAATTATGGCAACTGGGAGGGGGTCTGCCCCAGGTTAGGAGGGTTTTTGGTTTAAAAAGCGATCTCCTTGATAGTTTGTGCATTTATGATAAGGTTCATTCACTTGTTCACTAACGCAAAACCGTGTCCAATCTTCTGTGGCTTTTCTATTTTCCCTTTACTTTTTATGAAATGCACATCTTTGCTCAGATTTTTAATTTTCCACTTTCTTTTGCTCTTTAAAAAGCCTATTGTGAATGAAATTCCCCACTCCTCCAACCTCTGATTGCCAATGGAATCCCCTAACATTGTCAGCTGGAGTTGGGGACTTAAAGCGTTTTAAACAGTGAAGTGCTTGGGCAAGAATTCTTGCCGATAGGCCAAGATCTGTTCCCTGCTTAAAAGACTTAGATCAGCAGGTAAGACTTATTCAGTGATGCCAGACATGTGGAAGTGAATTTCTATAAAGTACAAATCATAACAGCCCTTGGAGAGCTTAGAAATGTTTTAAAAGCAATAGACAAGTATAGCCTGATTCGGTAACACTTAGCAAATGCCCCTAGCAACGAGTACTTGGTGAAAACAAACCCTCGTTCGTTTGAAAGCTTATTGCTCTTTGCTTAGGAAGTCGCTGAATTTTTCTGAGAATTTAGTTTCTTTGCGTGAAAATGCCGGGGAGCTGTGTTGCCGTTGGTTGTTCGAACCACAAAATGATGGGAAAGAATTGGTTTACCCATTCATATATTTCCAGATCGCAAAAAGAAACTTGAAAAATGAAAGCGATGGGTACAGGCCATTTACAGAACATTATATTACATATTGATAATTTAAATATTTTCAAATTCTAGAGACAGACAATCACTTTCAAACTCTATGTACACTATCTACTAAGGCCAAACAAGGTCGACGTTGCCAACATTATTTTTTGGCAACAGTTACACACTCCAAAAAGCACACCAGCAATTTTTCTGTGATAAATTGATCATAATTTTAAATTACATGCAAACCATCCTCAGATCCAACTCACCCAAACTTTATCCCAAGCACTGTCTTTTAGATGAAAAACAAAGCAGACATACTGTTAAGAGGATTTGAAATAGGAAGAAAAGAAGCCTAGTTAATGAGATAAAACAACTGAATAAGGCCTATCTCCAATTATTGAGGAAAGAAAAATGCGTTGTGCGCTTGTAGACCTTTATGTGACTTCATTGTCTTTTTTGTATAAACCCCTAATAAATAGGAAGAAAAGTGATGTTATGAAATGGCACTGATTTCACAGAAAGATAACCTATATAGTTAAAAATCATAGATTACTGTAGGAAATTATGTTATCATAAAATCACTCTTATAACATGGTGTTGATCAAATAGTATTAGATGGCAGGATATTCAATATTTCGAAGGACTGTCAATCCCAATTTCGGCAGGCAGACGGTATGGGCAATCTTAGATATACAGCTAGTTTTGCTTCATATTGCTTTTTTGCTTCGATTTTTAAAGAATCAAAGCATTAATACGCTTTTTTCGCTTACGCTAATGGTGCGCCATCTGCGAGCGATGGGTTTGTTTTCACCCAGTGGAATGGCGACTCCAACACGTGACGTCACACTGAATTGGTCTATTCCCACCAACAATCTTGGAGAGATATAACTTGTGCTTAAGTCAAGGATGGAGTTTATTTCATTGGCAGTTGGTAACAGTTTGAGTGCGCAATTCAAACAACTGACAAGCTAGTGCCACATCAAAATGGCATAGAAGAAAATAAATCTACCCTAACATCTTTACAAAGTGCAATATTTTTTCCTTTAAACATATACAGTCCCTCTAAACAGTGACACACACTTCCAATTGGCAACCCTTGCATTCTGACTCGCTATCAAAACAAATGAACATCACTGAATTAAAATATAGGCCTACCCATTTCCATATATACAATTCTATGAGGTTGAAAAAAATAGTCAACTAATGAAATATCAACAGAAGAATGTTCCTAGAATTTTTCAGACTTTTTCACTTGAAATATTCTCCATTTCATTGAACAGTTGATATATTCTCAATTAAGAGAGACAAGGAGTTTAAAAATAAAGAGATAAATTGTTCATCTTATAATGATTTCTGGTTTATAAGAAAAAAAGCTTTTTCATTCTTATAATCTCTTTTTTGGTTATACTATTTTCTCCTGTTTTCAGTCAATATGAATTTCTTTGAATATAATCTTATGGAAATTACAAAATTAGATACAATAAAAAAAGATTTCTCTGACAAATTATTAAGCAGAGTTCTTGGCCAACCCCCGCATTCGAAAGCTTATAACCAAATGTAAGTCTAGCCATCTACAGGGGTCGCTTGAGAAAACCAGACAAATTCTTGAGTTAGCAATGAAAGTATTGAGATTTTAGGCAAGAACTTTCCCTGCTTAAAAAGCCTTTAGTCTCTGATGGGTGTGGTCCTGTTGTAAATCTTTACCCTTCTTGTTACTACTCAAGGAAGTATAATGTCCAGGTTTCAGGCTACACTCGTGTCATGAGGCACCAGGTTCCAATAGATTAAACCAAACGAAAGGGCTACAGCAACTCGGGAGAAATGCCAATTAGAAGCAGGTCATTGGGAAATATGGCAATCAGTATGATTCAAGGGGTGATGCTTCCATGTTAAGAAGACTTCTGGTTCCGACAGCAATTTTTACAGTAGTTTATGTATCTAAGATTGACTCCATTCAACTCTTGACTCTTGGATCAAATATTTCATGGACAAATATTGGATCCAATTTTTCTTTTTTTCACTTACTTTTTTTTTATGCCTGTTATGGGTGAATTTGCCTGTATCCCCCAAATCCAAAAAAAAACAATTGACCAAGGGATGTATCTGACAGGTGTAGGCCTACTATAACTTTTAATGTAATAACTATGAAAGAAAAAGTGAAGAACATAGTTACATTTTCATTACAAGCAATTTAACAACAACAATATTGTTATCTGCAGTGATATATATCTATAATGAATGGTAACAAACTTATTAAATGTCTGAATGAAAAATTAAACATGTAGGCCAATGATACTTCAGAGAGAAAACCCATTTAAATTCCACAATTTTGACACTCAAATCAATTCAAATAATCAGATAGATTATCTATCCCCTACGACAAAGGTTTTTAACTATGAAAAGAAACAAATACACTGAGTAAAGTAAGCAATTTATCTTTTCTAATTAAAATCTGATAGGCCTACAACCCAACAAAATCCCTAAAATCAATGCAATTATTTGCTTTCTAAATTACAACCAAAACGAATAATCAATTAACAATATTCACACAACACCAACCAACCAAACTGCGTAAAAGAGAAACTTAAACTCCGCAACAATAACAAATGCATAATAATAATAAACGCGATGGCAAACACAAAATAAAAACAATTATCCCAATTTCCTCCTTTTCTTCCAGTTCCAGCGTTTATTCGCCATTGCGCCTCCTCCCTCCTGTATTCCCTCTCTTCACCCACCTTCTTACCGGTATTAAGTATTCAATAAAGTCAGAATTAAGGGAGATAATCGCTATTTCAATCGCCTTTATATTACGAGTCTTCTTGGTTGATGGAGTCTTGGGTTCAAATGACGAACGGGATGCGCAATGGCTTTTTTGTTTTTGTTTTTGTTTTGACTATTTTCTTGCGTTTTGTGATGATGATATTTCTTTGTTTTATTTAAATGAGAAGTTTAGCGTCGTGGTGTGTAGCGGTGGTGTTTATTTGTTATATGTAACTTCTGGTTTTGATGCGCAATGGATATTTGATTTTGTTATTGGTTTCATGAATATAAATATGTTGTGTGGCATTTTGTTGGCGTTGTAAATCTCATTTGGGGATGTCTATTATCTACACGATATATAATTATCTATTTATCGACCATTTTAACTATTAAATTTCTTAATCTAAATCATCTCTCTCCATAGACAGGCTTCTTCAAGTTAATACTTGACTACATTTCTCTGTCTTTTAGGTCATTTTGATTATAATTTTCATCTTTGCTCTTTATTCTCTTAAATATCAACGATTTGTTACGTTTTTCTCTTTTTTTATTAACTTTTTTTCTTATCCTTTGGTCATCGATTTTTTCTCTCTCGACTTTTTTTAATGACCGCAATTTTTTGTTTTTGTTTTTTATTTATTTTTTTTTTATTTACATCATCAAGGTCTTTACATTCATCTACGCGTATTAAATCATCCTTTTAGTGTTCTCGTATTATCACTATTTTCTTAACACTCATTGTCATTATCATTGTCAATATCATTATCATTACTATTGTTATTATTGCCATCAACTTCAATCATCATTTCCATTATCATTATCATATATCATTATTATGACTAATACTATGATTATCATTATGGTTATCATTATAATTATCATGATCATTGTTATTATCGTTATTATTACTCTTATTACTATTATCATTGTTGTTTTTATTATTGTCATTATCACTATCATTATTATTATCATTGTAATTATTATTGTTATTGTTATTATTATTGTTATTATTATTATTATTATTATTATTATTATTATTATTATTATTATTATTATTATTATTATTATTATTATTATCATATGATCATTATCATTATATTATTATTGTTATCATTATTATTATTATTGTTATATTACTATTATTATTACTATTATTATTATTATTATATTATATTATTATTATTATTATTATTATTATTATTATTATTATTATTATTATTATTATTATTATTATTATTATTATTATTATTATTATCATTATTATTATTACTATTACTATCATTATCACTATCATTAGTGTTGTTTTTACTGTTAACTTTATCATTATCATAACTACTGTTATAAATATTTTTATCATTATCATTATCATTATCATTATTGTTATTATTTTTATTATCATCATTATTTTTATTATCACTATCATTAGTGTTGTTTTTACTATTAGCGTTAGCATTATTGTAACTACTATGATTATCATCATCACTGTTATTGATATCATGATTATTATTATTATTATCATTATCATTATTATCATTTTCAGTGTTATTGTCATTAGTATCATCATTAATATCATTATCATTGTTGTTGTTATCATTATCATTATGATCATTTTTATCATTATTATCATCATTGTTATTATGTTATATATTATTATATTATTATTATTATTATTATATTATTATTATTATTTATTATATTATTATTATTATTATTATTATTATTATTATCATTATTGCTATCATCATTATTATCCTTAACACTATTACTATTATTTTTTAATTGATACTAGCACCATCATTATTACTATTATCATTACAATAATCATCTTTATCATTATTTTTTTATTACTATTATAATTATCATTATTAGCATTATTGTTATCATTATCGTCACCGTTATTATTCTTATCATTACTATCATCATCATCATCATCATCATTATTATCATTATTATTATTATCATCATTATTATTATCATCATCATCATCATGGACCAGCATCATTATCATCAATATCATCATGGTCATTATCATAATTGTCACTACTGTAATTATCATTATCTTAGTTATTGTTATTACAATTATGATTGTTTCATTACTACGAAAACAAAAATGCTACTTATTATCATCATTGTTATTATCATTATCATTATTGACATAATTATTATCATTACTGTTATCATTATCAATATTGTTGAAATTATTAACATTATTAGTATCATCCTTATTATTATTGCTTACTATCATCATCATTATCATTATTGTTCTTATTCTTATTATTATCACCCTTTTTATTGTTTTGATTATCATAACTATTATCATCATCATTTTCATTATTGTTATCATTATCATCATTATCATTATTCATCATGTGTGTGTGTGTATATATATATATATATATATATATATATATATATATATATTATATATATATATATATATATATATATATATATATATATATATATATATATATATATATATATATATACATAGGAAGTGTTGATATCACAAACCAAACGATTTTGAAGTATAAATTCCAGATCTTAAACAGGATAAGGATGACCAGAACACAACACACACTCCCAATACAAGACCTTCCCTGTGTTTTTTTCCTGCCATAAACTTCAACACTTAACTTCCCTTGGCATCTTTCGCCCACAGAGCACGTGCAAAATCTCAAGGTTAGACTACCACGCATGCGCTGCTCTTCACCACATGGCAGTACATTGTAAATCAGTAATTTTCTAGTGATACACGAGATCAAGTGGTTGTCGGCGAAATGGCAAGTATAGGGAAAATTATCATTTATTTATGTATTCATTTTAGGATATAGGAATATTATTTCCTGATGTGTGATGTGAATAGAATATACAGAGAGAGAGAGAGAGAGAGAGAGAGAGAGAGAGAGAGAGAGAGAGAGAGAGAGAGAGAGAGAGAGAGAGAGAGAGAGAGAGAGAGAGAGAGAGAGAGAGAGAGAGAGAGAGTCATGTTATGAAGCTTTTAGTTTCATTTCTTCTCTAACGGAAATTGTCCCAACTAGATTTTTTCAATTGTTAGACTATAAATACCAAAAGCACGCCTTTTGCGGTATACTGAATTGACAGCTGTTAGATGTTTCAACTATCTTTCAGGGTACAAGTAAGAATAATAGAATTTGCACTGATAATGGTAGTCATCATTGTACATCTATGTTACTGAATAAACAATAACCAAGGAATTGTGGCGAAAATTTATGAAAACGATGTCAGGAAACAAAAATTCTGTGAAATGCTGCAGATATTTCATAGACATCGAATCTGTCCTAACCCATAGTGAAAAATACAACACGTACCCTTTAGATCATATCTGTTCTTGGTAACTCAAAGACAAAACAGATCATTGTTTAAGTACACTTTATCAAAGAGTTGTTGTTTGTTTGTATTATTGCTACTATTAGAAGTTTGGCTAAGAAGAAATTTCCTGTTCGTCATATAAGAAAGACAGATATGGATATCCTGGCTCGGGAATTTGTAGTCACATGCACAAAAAATGTCCTTGTAGCATCAGGAGCGAAACCAATTACCCTAACATAGAAAAAAAGGAAAAAAAATGCGAAATAGTAGCTGAATATATATGCCACCGAACGATACGAGGTACAAAAGGAATTATCGTGGAAATATGTGGATATTGTCATTTACATATGTGCCTCTATATATTATATATATTATATATATAATATATATATATATATATATATATATATATATATATATATTATATATATATATATATATATATATATATATATATATATATATAATATATTATATTATATATATGTATATATATATATATGTGTATATATATTGTATATATATATATTATATATATATACATATATATATATATATATATATATATATATATATATATATATATATATATATATATATATATATATATATATATATATATATATATATATTGCATATGTGTGTATATATATGTACAGTATTTATATATACTTATATACATGTATGTATATATATACTTATATACATATATGTGTGTTTGTGTATACATTTGCGTATATATACATATATATGTATATGTAAATATATATATGTAGTAAATATATATATGTATGTATTCAGGGAATATATATATATATATATATATATATATATATATATATATATATATATATATATTAGATTTCTGGAGCACTGAACATAAAACCAAACAATTGAAAAACACTCAAGGAGTAAAACTTGTGCTTCACTCAAAAACAATAGCAACAAGAAAACATTACTGGAATATACTATCATCCTATGACATGAGGATTTATGCCGATAGTATGGCATCCTATATTTTTTCCAGCCATTATGTACTATATTTTTGTTGAAATTGAACAATGACTTGAGATGCGAAAGGACTTCGACGCTGTGCTTTCGTGCTTCCCTTTACGGCGTGTCTTGGAAATAAATAAGCCAATTCTATCTGAGAAATTTATTGAAATCAAACAACATACTCTGAGTTGCTTTTGTATTTTTGTTCGTATGTCGTGTTAGCAACACACATATCCCTCTGGCCGCCTGCAGAAGTATTTGCAGTTTCCTTGTCCTTGGCCAAGCCCACCCTGTCCAAAGCCACCTTGTTGTCCAAATCCTCCTTGGCCAAAACCACCTTGTCCAAAGCCTCCCTGGCCAAAGCCACCTTGTCCAAATCCTCCCTGGCCGAATCCACCTTGTCCAAAGCCTCCCTGTTGTCCGAATCCTCCTTGTTGTCCAAATCCACCCTGGCCAAAACCACCTTGTCCGAATCCTCCTTGTTGTCCAAATCCACCCTGGCCAAAACCACCTTGTCCGAATCCACCTTGTTGTCCGAAGCCACCTTGGCCAAAGCCACCTTGTTGTCCGAAGCCACCTTGTTGTCCGAATCCGCCTCCAAAGCTACCCCCTGAAGGTCTGTTTGGTCTATTGGGTCTGTTCCCGGAAGACGACCCACCGCTGCCCGACTGCCCTCCAACGGCTTGCTCGAACAGCTGTTGTAATTCCTGTGTATGAGAAAAAAAACACATAAGTATGGAGTGTTTGCACTGACATTACAGATACCAGAAAGTCCTGGAGGCGCCACCATGTTTGAGGTATTCTGATCATAAACAAACATGACTGACAACTACTACACAGGCGAATTTCTGTTTTAAAAACTGAATTTCACGATGTCAGAATCCAACAAATTGTTGGAAAAGCATGCAGAGATGGCCTTGAACATAGCGAGAGCATACTGGAGGCATTGCGAAAAGTGCAGCACGCAAGCAAAAGGCCATATGTGCTTCTATTTAAATTCTCTACGGTTTCATCATGTCCACAGCTTTGGAAAGGCGATCAAATGCTGCAGAAAATACAATGGTCTTAGACCAAATGGAAAAAGAGGGATGAGAGAGAAATTTTGACATTGAGGCATAGATCAGTACAGTTTCGTGAACATCAACTGGCTGGAACGGGCTGCCGAAGATAACGGACCCAGACATCGTAAATATTTTATTATTTACACCAAGCCCATACACGGCCGAAGATCTAGTGTTATAGAGGGAAAAAATAGAAATAGAAATTTCTGCTGCCTGCTACACTGTTAGCTATAATATCGAAATCATATTGTATTCTGGGTGATTAACATTTCACTAGAAACAAAAAAACTGTAGTTTGAGATGCCAAAATGTCTTCATAGTTATTGGCATAGCTTAGGCCCTTTTCCAGTTTGCTTTTTTCTTCTCCACTGATTCAGTTAATGTTACCTAAAGAGAAAATTGGAAAAAAGAGCTGAGCACAACCTGATATTATTTATTTTTCCTTCAGGATACTGATTCAAGCGAGAAGGCCACTGATGTCATCTTTTCACCTTGATTTCGAATAATTTTCGGCAATTTATAAAACCGTAATTGCGACTCGAATTTTCCGTTTATGACATCCATAGACGCTTATTAAATCCATAGAAATAAGAGAAGGAAGTGGAAGGAATAGACACACAAGCGTTTCAAACCTACAATGCCTCCAATATGGCGGACACCTTTTTGGTGACATCACATGAAAACAATATATATACACATATCTATGTACGCGTGCACACACAGGTATACACATAATAACAAAATTGATAAATCGAATATTTCACTTAGTTTGAACGATAAAACTGGGTCTGTGAATTTTAGGATGAAACACAAAAAGAGTACAAGTTGTTCCTTACCGCTAGACTCTGGGCGTAAGAGCCAGCGAAGATCGCCGCAAGAACTATTAAGGTGAACTTCATCTTCCTTCTGAAAGAGGAAAAACCGTTAGCTCAGTACAAGTACAGATATCAAGAGTGTGCACTTGATATGAGATGCTCCACTGACTATAATTATATATATATATATATATATATATATATATATATATATATATATATATATATATATATATATATATATATATATATATATATATAGTATATATATATATATATATATATATATATATATATATATATATATATGTATAGTATATATATGTGTGTGTGTGTGTGTGTGTGTGTGTGTGTGTGTGTGTGTGTGTGTGTGTGTGTGTGTGTGTGTGTGTGTGTGTGTGTGTGTGTGTGAATGTAGTAGTATATATGCATGCATGTACATACGTACATACACACACACACACACACACACACACACACACACACACACACACACACACACATATATATATATATATATATATATATATATATACACATATATATACATATATATACTGATAGCTAGATACACATATATTATGTGTATGTGTGTGTGTGTGTGTGTGTGTGTGTGTGTGTGTGTGTGTGTGTGTGTGTGTGTGTGTGTGTGTGTGTATGTTGTATATTTGTAAATGTGTATATGGATATACATATATGCATATTCAGATTTACAATTGTTCGTGGATAAGGAACCAGTAATTACCTATAATCAAACTTTTACTTATATTTTGCTGTTTTCGCACACGGCGATCATAAGATAACATAACAGTAAAGAAATACTAATGATACAGGCCTTAACTAGATATTTAACAAATACAACCCCGTAACAGATCAATACATTCACCAGAAACTAAATAAAAAACGTGTTTTTGTAAATAACATTTAAAACAAGGTGATCCACGCGTTGTACTCAGTAACCAAACAATATATAGACAATAATCAGTTAACTACACCGCCAAGTTAAGTTATATATATATATTAGTACATTAATCTACATTTATTAATATTGTTATTGTTACTATTTTTATTTTATACTATTAATTTTCAATTACTAACATTTTTATTATTGTCGTTACAAAGACTTGAAATGTTATTACAATCATTCTAATATTAATATCATCATTATAATCAATGTTATTATTATGATAATTGCAAATAGTAATAACACCAAAGATGGTGAAAATAATAGTGACAACAAATGTAACGTAATGGCAAGATAAAACGAATAGGTAATGGACTAAGGTAGACGAGAAAGGCAAAGGGCATTGGAAAGTAACGGTTTGAGGGAGAATGGGGGGGGGGGTAGGTATAAAGGGGGAGGTATAAAAATTAGGATGGAGGAATGGATGGGAGAGTATTATCGCTCATGGGAGGGTGGGTGGATGAATCACTCTCTCTCTCTCTCTTTCGCCTGCTTCTCCTACTATCTCTCTCTATCTTCCTCCACTTCCTACTCTCTCTGTTCATCCTCTTACTCTCTCTATCTATCTTCCTCCACATCTTAATCTCTCTCTTCCTCCTCTTACTCTCTCTCTTTCTCTTCCTCCTGCTCCTACTCTCTCTCTTTCTCTTCTCTCTCTCTCTCTCTCTTCCTCCTCCCCCTATTCTCCCTGTCTTCCT